ATTTTGAAAGTTCTGTGGGTAAAATTCTATCAAACAACATTGCATGCTATAGAAAAATAGTTGGTGAAAGGAAGAATTGATGTGGCAAACTTCATTATTGTCTTATTTTAAGAAATTATGACAGCCACCCCAGCTTTCCACAACCGTCACCCTGATCAGTCAGCAGCAAGTATCAAGGCAGGACCCTCTACCAACAAAATGATTATAACTCTCTGAAAGCTCAGGTGATGGTTAATATTTTTAGCAATAAAATATTTTTAAGTTAAGGTATGTACATTGTTTTCTAGTCATAATGCTATTGCACGGTTAATAGACAACAGTATAGTGTAAACATAACTTTATATGCACTGGAAAACTAAAAAGTTTATTTGACTGACTTATTGCAATATTAGCTTTATTGTGATGGCCGAAAATTGAACCTGCAATATCTTAGAGGTATGACTGTACAGGTCTTTCACCTCCTTTGTTAAATTTATTCCTAGGTATTTTATTCTTTTTGATGTAACTGTAAATGGGATTATTTTCTTAATTTCTCTTTCTGATAGCTCATTATTAGTATATAGAAACACAACTTATTTCTGTATGTTAATTTTGTATTCTATGACTTTACTGAATTCATTCTAATAGTTTTTTGGTGGAGTCTTTAGGGTTTTCTATATATAGTATGTTATCTGCAAATAATGACACTTCTTTTCAATTTGGATGCCTTTTATTTCTTTTTCTTGCCTAATTGCTGTGGCTAGGACTTCTTGAATAACAGTGATGAGAGTGAGTACTTTTGTCTTGTTTCTGATTTTAGAGGAGAAACTTTCAGCCTTTCACTGTTGAGTATGATAGTACCTAGGGGTTTGTCATATATGACCTCTATTATGTTGAGGTATGTTTCTTTTATGCTCACTTTGTTGAGAGTTTTTATCATAAATGTTGATATTTTTGTCAAATGCTGTTTCTGTATAAAGATCATTATATGATTTTTGTTCTTTGTTTTGTTAATGTGGTGTAATATGTTGATTGATTTACAGATGTTGAACCACCCTTGAATCCGTGGAACAAATCTCACTTGATAATGGCATCTGATCCTCTTCATGTACTGTTGAATTTCATTTGCTAATATTTTGTTGAGGATTTTTGTATCTATGTTCATTGGGGATATTGGCTTGTTATAGTCTCTCTCTCTCCTTTTCTCTTCCTTTCTTCCTTCCTTCCTTTCTTTCTTTCTTTCCTTTGTCTGGTTTTGATATCAGGGTAATGTTGGCCCTGTAAAATGAGTTTGGAAGTATTTCTTCCTCTTTAATTTTTTGGAATAATTTGAGAAGGATAATTACCAACTCTTTATTTTTTTATTATTATTTTTTAATTAATTTTATTTTACTATGTTAGTCACCACACATTACATGATTAGTTTTTGATGTAGTGTTGCATGATTCATTGTTTGCGTATAACACACAGTGTTCCATGCAACACGTGCCCGACTTAATACCCATCACCGGGCTAACCCATCCCCCACCCCCCTCCCCTCTAAAACCCTCAGTTTGTTTATCAGAGTCTATAGTCTCTCATGGTTCATCTCCCCCTCCGATTCCCCCCTTCATATTTCCCTTTCTACTATCTTCTTTTTTTTTTTTTTTTAACATATAATGTATTATTTGTTTCAGAGGTACAGGTCTGTGATTCATCAGTCTTACATAATTCACAGCACTCACCATAGCACACATCCTCCCCAGTGTCCAGCACCCAGCCCCCCATCCTCCCACCCCACACCACTCCAGCAACTCTCAGTTTGTTTCCTGAGATTAAGAGTCTCTTGTGGTTTGTCTCCCTCTCTGGTTTAATCTTGTTTCATTTTTTCCTCCCTTCCTCTATGATCCTCTGTCTTGTTTCTCAAATTCCTCATATCAGTTAGGTCATATGATACTTGTCTTTCTCTATTGACTTATTTCGCTTAGCATAATATCCTCTAGTTCCATCCACGTTGTTGCAAATGGCAAGATTTCTTTTCTTTTTTTTTTTTGATGGCTGCATAATATTCCGTTGTATATATATACACCGCATCTTCTTTATCCATTCATCTGCTGATGGACATCTTGGCTCTTTCCATAGTTTGGCTATTGTGGACATTGCTGCTATAAACATTGGGGTGCACATACGCCTTCGGATCACTACATTTGTATCTTTGGATTACCATCTCTTTAAATGATTAGTAGAATTCACCTGTGAAACTGTCTGATCCTGGACTTTTGTTTGGGGGAAATATTTAAATTACTGATTCAGTTTCATTACTTGTAATCGTTCTGTTCAGATTTCCCATTTCTTTGTGGTTTGATCTTAGAAAGTTGTGTTTTTTTCTAGGAATTTATCCATTTCTTCTAGGTTTTTCAGTTTGTTGGCTTATTATTTGTAGTAGTCTCATATCCTTTGTATTTCTGTGGTGTCAGTTGTAACTTCTGCATTTCTGATTTTATTTGGGTTGTCTCTTTTTTTCCTGATGAGTCTGGTGAGAGGTTTATTGATTTTATCTCTTCAAAAAACCAGCTTTTAGTTTCACTGTTCTTTTCTAATTTTCTTTTTTTAAGTCTCTCATTTATTTCTACTTTCATCTTTATTATTTCCTTCCTTCTACTAACTTTGGGCTTTGTTCTTCTTTTTCTAGAGTCTTTACATGTAAAGTTAGTTTGTTTATTTGGGCTTTTCTTATTTCTTGAAGTAGTCCTGTATTGCCATGAACTTCCTTCTTAGAACTGCTTTTGCTGCATCCTATAGATTTTGAAAAGTTGTATTTCCATTTTCATTTATCCCAAGGGTTCCCCTCCCCCTTCACATTTCTAAGCACTTTTTTCCCCCTGCCTTTTTATTATTCAAGTGCATAACATGTAGTGTTATATTAGTTTCAGGTGTATAATATAGTGATTCAACAGTTCTGTACATTTCTCAGTATTCATCAAGGTAAGTGTACTCTTCCCCTTTATCGAACCCATCCCCCAGACTACTTAAGAGTCTTTTTTTTTAGTTTGGCTCTTTTTTTTCTTGTTTGTTCATTTGTTTCCTAAATTCCACATATGAATGAAATCATATGATACTTGTCTTCCTTTGACTTATTTCACTCAGCATTATGCCCTCTAGTTCCATCCCTGTTGGTGCAAATGGCAAGATTATACTTAAATTTTTTTCTTCGATTTCTTTGTCTACCTATTGGTTGTTTATAATCAACATTTTAAAATGAAGTAGGATAAGGATTAACAATTAGAATAACTTTTGATATGGATTTGTGAAAAGAGGGGATAAACTGTTATACTGAATAATGTATAGAGAAGTTGCATAAAATATTTTTTCTGTAGTTTGGATCCAGTATAACTTAAACATTTTGCTCATCTAGAAAACATTCCAGTTACATTTGAAGAGTCACTTCACTGGCCTTAGAAACAGATTATGGACGGTATTCGCTTTTGACTGAATATTTTAGAATTTTATCCAACATAACTATAAGTAGTTATGACATATGGTGTGGTTTTAAATTTTCTAAGTTAAAAGCAAAGTTATTTAATAGCTAGCATTTATTGTGTTCTTACTTATGTTGGTACTTACCTGAACACTATATCTTCTCTCTAATCTAATTCTTACAACAATCCTAAGAGGTAAGTACTGCTTTAATCTTCATTTTACTGATGAGAAAATTGAGTTTCAGAAAATATTTTGCTCAAGCCAACCCAAGAGCTGGCAAGCAATAAATCCAGAATTAATACCTAGGCAGTCTGCCTTCAAACATTTATTACTAAGCACAGTGCTATGCTACTTCCCAAGGTTGTGCTGTCCTGTTCTTCATCTTGACAGATGAATGAATTCCAATGCCATGTATTTTATGGTGTGATCAGATATGTATGATATGCAAGAAAATTATTAGACATTTTCAAGTGCTTTGCAAAAACACTGCATTATTTGTGATACTTAAATGGATCCTATTTTCTTTAAGAAAAAGCAACTGTCAAAGGGAAATTCTGAAATGGCCTTTAGTTATTAAGTAATTGAAAATAATAGGATATTTATTAAAATAATTTATTTTTCTTAATCTTTGTTTCTAATTGGGAGAAATGAGAGATCATGAATGGATTTTCTAAGTTACAGTATTTGAGGAAATGACTGAACAATATAGGGAAACTTGGAGATCTGTTTGTTGTAATAGTAATTACAGCAACAAATAGGAGCTGGCATTCATTGCATTCCAGTTATGTACTGGGCGCTCCTCTAAGCACTTTATATGTTAATACATACTGTTTAATCCTTACAAGAATGCCATGAGGCAGGCAAAATTATCCCCACTTTTTAGTTTTTAGATTTTTTTAGAATGATTTTAAAAAATGGACTGATTTTATTTAAACAATTAGTGTTTTTTGTTTTTTTCTTTTAGTAGCAAATGATGAATGGATAATTGCAGCAAATATATTCGTATTATTCCTTAACTGATGCTTTTTACCGTACTGTCCTCCTGTTACCACACAGCTGGCTGCTTTGTCATTCAGTATACCAGGCCTCATCAGCTCACCTCATCAGCTCACCTTTTTTTCTGGCTGTTACATACTGACCCTTATTTGATACACCCTGGCTTTCAACTCCAATTATATTTCCTTCCTAAAGTTCAGTCTGTTCCAAGTATTATAATCACTTCCTCTTTCATGTCACTGCCAAGTCCTCCGTTCAGTGTCCCATGTTTCCTGTTCATATAAAATCCTTAACTGAGGAATTAGTTTTTTCTTAACTCTGCCTGTCAGTTTTTACATGTGAATCAATAGGAGTATCTTCTAAATCCCTCTTTTATATATTCACTACACATATATAGCAGTTTCATCCTTGCTGTTAGTTTCAGTGCTTATATATGTCTGATTGTGCACAAGAGATTAAAAGAAGTTATTAGCCTTCTGCAATTTAAATCAAATCTGTCTTTTATCATAGGGAGAAAAATTTTACTGTATTTCTTTCTTCAGTGTTTCTCTCTTACAATTTTTTAGGTCTTATGGCAATTGGATATATTCCGAAGAAGCTTGCGGGTTCTAACTGGACATGTTTGTCAGGGAGATGCCTGCATATTTTGTGCATTGAAGGTAACCTTTTAATAGTACTGAAAAATTACTATTAATTGTTTTGCCAAAAATTTAATTTTGATAGTTTGTTTGATCAGTTTACTTGAAGTTGAAATTCATTGTCAAGTGACTTAGAGCTTTGAGACGAATTCTTAAAGTATGATTTATTCAAGTTTCTGGATTTTTTCCCACTTTTATGTAAGGACAGTTAAAATTAATATTCTAAATAGTGTAGAAACATTAGGAACATTACATTTTTCATTATTTTGGAAAAATTCTTTATTCATTTTATGAAATGGATTTTGAACTACTAATGGATTTTGTGCACTGCTGTAGTTACTGATGATACAGCAGTGAACAATGTGATAAAACCTCTGTTCTCATGGAGCTTACATTCTTGTAGGGGAGGAGAAAATAAGTAAGCAACATATAAAGTATGTTAGATGGTAATAACTACAAAGGGGGAAAATAAATCAGGGAAGGGGAATAGAGAGTGTTGAATAGTCAGGAAAGCCTCACTGGGAAAGTTTAAACCATTACCTGGAAAAGATGATAGAGTGAAGCTTTCCAGGCAAGCAGGGAAACAGTAACTGCAAAGGCCCTGAGGTGAGTGTGAGTGATTCAAGGAAACCTGGGTGTCAGAAGCTTTGTGAGCAAGGGGGAGAGTGATAAGAGGTGAGCTCAGAAGTAAGGTGAGTTGTGGTGATTTTAAAACATGTCTGCAGGGGTGTCTGGGTGACTCAGTTGGTTAAGCGTCAGACTCTTGATTTTGGCTGGGGTCATGACATCAAGGAGCTTCACCTTGGGCTCCATGCTCAGCAGGGAGCTGCTTGAGATTCTCTCTCTGCTCTCCCTCCCCCCACTCCTGTGACTCTCTCTCTCTAAATAAATAGATAAAATCTTTAAAAATAAAATAAAACATGCCTGCAAATTCTTAAGTTTTTTTTTTTTTAGAAAGAGAGCATGAGCAGGGGAGGGGCAGAGAGAGAGAGAGGGAGAGAGAGAATCCTGGGCAGGCTCTCATGCCCCGGGCGGAGTCCAACACGGGGCTTGATCTCACAGCCCTGAGCCCATGACCTGAGCTGAAATCTAGAGCCAGAGAGCTAACCGCCTGAGCCACCCACGTGCCCCTCTTCTGCACTCTTCCTATCAAAAGGTGGAGTCTAGTTCTTTGAATATGGACTGGCCTTAATGATTCATTCCCACCAAATAGAATGGCAGAAATGACACTGCAGACATCTGAGGTTAGGTTAGATTAGAAAAGGTGATAAAATTTCTATTTGGCTCTGTCTGTTGGGCTGTCATTCTTGGGACTGAGCCATCATAGGGTGAGGAAGCCAAGTTGGCCACAGCTAAAGCAGAAGTCTAAGCGGACAGGCAGCACCAACAACCAGCATCAACTGCTCAATGTAAGTGAGCAACCTTCAGATGGTTCTAGGTCCCAGCATTCAGACTGTCCCAGATAACTCCCAGTGGAGCAGAGTTGAGCTGTCCTTACCAAATTAATGGTTTGTAATCATAATGTTATTTTTAGCAAATAAGTTTTGCGGTCGTTTGTTATGGAGCGATAAATAACTGGAACAGGAGTCCATATTGTGTAGGTCCTTCTAGGCCTTTGTGAGGACCTTGGCTTTTTCTGTTGAGTGATTTAGGAAGTCTCTGGATTGTTTCGAGTGGAAGAGTGATATAATCTGTTTTAACTAGATGGAATGTTTGGACTAGATCTCTTTGGCTACTTGGATGAGAATAAATAGAAGAGAGACAAAGGCAGAAACAGGGAGTCGCAATGAGTTAGCATCTCATTTATATCATTGAAATTTGCCCAAGAATTTAAGGTTTTATTAACATGTTTCAGAGATAAACATTTCATTCTTTTACATTCTTGAATATTCTTACACACACACACATACATGCAAGAAAATGAAGAGCCATTTTCCTGCTTTATTTTGATTTTTTTTTTTTTTAAGATTTTTATTTATTCATTCATGAGAGACAGAGAGAGAGAGAGGCAGAGGGAGAAGCAGGCTCCCAAGGAGCAGAGAGCCCGATGCGGGACTCGATCCCAGGACCCTGGGATCATGACCTGAGCCGAAGGCAGACGCTTAACCATCTGAGCTACCCAGGCGCCCGCTTTATTTTGATTTATATTCCTGAATATAAATCACCAAAGAAGGCAATTTTATATTCTCTTTTTTAGAACATGGCAAAATAGGGTTATTGTTAGGGGATAAAGAATGAACTTAGATCAAATTACAGTATCACATTTTATTTACGCCACAGTCAATTTTGGATATTTTGTCCAATTGTAAAATGAGTATAGTTAAGATTTCTAGCCTGAATCTTTCATAGCCTTACACAATCACCTGCCTGCCTCCCCACCGGCTACCCAAAACACTCTCTTCTTTCTCACTCTCTCTCTCCCTATCTGTCTCAGGTACTACACTTTAGCCAGACTGGCTACCTCTTGCAGTTTCCAGAGCTGGCTTCCATCTCTGACTCTTTTCATTGTTATTCCTTTTGTCTAGAATGCTTTTCTTCTAGATGTTTTTGTGGCTAACACCCTGTTTCCTTTATGCCAATCCTCAAATGAGGACATCAGTAAGACCTTCCCTGACTACCTGAGGTAATAGTTAACCTCCTTTCTACTCTCAGTATCTCTACTTTTATTTATAATACTTTATTTTTCTGTCTTGTATTTTATTTCTTTTTCTCTATTGTGTTTACCACCTTCTGATATACTCTATAATTACTTACTTGCTTTCTCCTGACTATAACTAGAATGTGTGCCCCATGAGGGCAGGGTTTTTGTTTATTTTCTAGTGAAGATGCCTCACATATACTAAGCAGTCAAAAAACAGATAACAAATGATTGAAACTCAGGTGTAGGATTAGTATCTTAAGCATTATCTTGAAAAGTTAATTAACTAAATAAGAAATGACATGAAAATATTTTCTATTTTTTCATATTTGTAATTATAGCTAAAAGATTATACTTCTGGATATCTAATATCATTTGGCATCTTTATTCTTCAATTTTTAAATTTATTTATAAATTAGATTTTCTTGCAGTAGTGGAACAGATTTTTGAAATATTTTCCTAGCCTACCATATATTGATCTGAAAAAAAAAATGTTTTTGAGATGACATACCCCTTGAGCTAATTAAGAGTTTAATATGGCCAATCCTTATTTGGTGGGTTGTCACTGAAAACTTTCTTTTTCCCCCCACTTTCCCCCACCTAAGATGATTGTCATAAAACTGGAACTTACTAAAAAGTTTTTCTTATTTAAATTCAATAAGGAAAATGGAAAACCAGATTAACACCTATAATCACTTGTTCTTGAATGTTGCCACTATTTCTTCAGCTTAGGTTAGAAATAATGCTCTAGGGTCACCTGGGTGGGTCAGTCATTAAGCATCTGCCTTCAGCTCAGGTCATGATCCCAGGGTCCTGGGATCGAGCCTCACATCGGGCTCCCTGCTCCACGGGAAGCCTGCTTCTCCTTCTCCCACTCCCCCTGCTTGTGTTCCCTCTGTTGCTGTCTCTCTGTCAAATAAATAAATAAAATCTTAAAAAAAAAAAAAAAGAAATAATGCTCTAAGTGAGGAAAACTGATAATTTGAAAAAAATTTTTCTTTAAAAATTAAAAGTCATCATCTTTTCAGAGTTCATGCAAATTGTACAGTGTCAGTTTTTAAAGGCAAATTTAAATAGTGGAAAATTTTCATTGCATTAAAGTTATTTAATTTTTGTTTACTTTTAAACCAGAGTTTGTCATTTTCTGAGGTTTATTTAGGAAGAAACAAAAAAACTGTAAAAGTTCATTTAAGCTACTTTTTCTTTTTTTAAGATTTTATTTATTTATTTGAGAGAGAGAGAGAGAGAGAGAAGCCAGGGGAGGGGCAGTGGAAGAGGGAGAAGCTGACTCCCTGCAGAGCAGGGAGCCTGATGCCGGGCTCGATCCCAGGACCATGAGATCGTGACCTGAGCTAAACCAGCTGAGCCACCCAGGTGTGCCCCAACCTACTTTTTTAAAAGACTAGTGAGTTCCTACTAATTTTCGTGTGATTATATATTTATTTTTGGTTAACACAATTTTAATTTCTATAGTATACTTTTAGATTTATAGCAATTTATCTCAGAACTCTTCCTTAAACAATTTGGATCAGAATTAGCTGGGGAACAGTTTAAAAATTGCCCTCACTTCAGCATACTCAATTAGAATCCCTGAAGATGGGAACTGAGCACTTACTTAATTCTGTGCACACTAATGTTTGATTTCGAGGCTGGGGCAACCATTTCTATACATTACTGATACAAATAATCTTTAAATGGAATTTTGGAGCAAAAGACTATTAGTTTCTGGGTATAGTGTTATGAGTTTCACTCTTTTATAATGAAATTACTGACATGTTTCTTTAGTCGTTGGCTTTAAACTTACTGATGTACTTGTTGATCCCCAGACAATATTTGCACTGTTTGAACACAGTCGAGAAAAAGCACTTCCCTCGGATAACATAAGGCATGCTCTAGCAGAGAGCTTCAAAGATGAGCAGCGATTTCAGTTGGGCCTTATGGATGATGCTGCAGAGTGCTTTGTAAGTATTTTTGATAATCCTTAAATCAGAATACTGGCTTGTTTTCCTTAAATGATACGAATTTCGAGACGAATGAAACAAATTTCTAGCAATGGAAACAAATCATAACTACTCATTGGATCCATGCCTTACCTGCCCTTCAGAGCTCAGTTTAAGTCCATCTGTCTCATGACTTGATTTTGGTTATTGTGCTGCTATCATTTTTATTGGGTATTAGAGTACTGGAATATTTTAAAATTTATTTATTGGAGAAAACATTTATTAAATATAAATTATTATGTCACTTAAGTCAGTGTTCTGCCTCCACAGGGTTTATATGTGCAACACATTCCCAGCAGTAGCATTTCTCATTACATGCAATGATTCTCTTTGGGAGAGAAGAGGTTCTTGGTGGGCAGCTATCAGGGGCAGCAGTTCTTTTTCTTTTTCTTTTTTTTTTTTTTTCAGTAGTCTCATTGTATATATTTATTGAGATATAATTTAAAAATTGTCTCCAGCTTTACTGAGATACAAGTGTAAGCTGTATGATGTGTTGATTTGATACATTTATATGTTGCAAAATGGTGACTGCGTAGCATTAGCTGACGCTTCTGTCCTGTCACGTGATTGGTTTTTGTGGTGTATGTTATACAATATCACAGTTCTGTGTCTTTGGATGAATTTATACATGCAGGTTCCTGCCATCCGAATTACAACATGAAACGTGCCCATTGCAGTAGTTTGTTGAGCGACTCTTGCCACTCAATTCCACCCCACGGGCACTTGTGGGTCTTCTTTTGTTTTCACAAAGCCCGTTTCTGAAATGCCTCCGTGTTGCGTAGATCCCGACTCTGTCTCTCGTCTGGAATCATTGCGAATCGTTATAGTAGGTGACCTTTTGTGTCTGGCTTTGCTCACTAAGTTCTTTGTGGAGATGAAGAACCCAAAGAATTAGCAGTGAAGCTTGTGGAAAGAATTTGGAATTCCGTAATGGGACATAGGGAGTAGATGTTAGGATCTCGGCAGTAGCCGAAATGGACTATTTTGTGGCCAAAAGAATGGTCTGGGAGAGCCTTAAAATTGGAGCATGTGCTGAGTTGGAAGGAAGGTATGGGGTGGTCTGTATAAAACTAGGGAAGCAGGGTAGGCACCACTGGGGGCTCCTGGAGTGGCATCCGTGTGTCTCTTGGAAGAGCTAGTCTTGATTTCCACCCCAGCTAATTGCTGTTGTTTGGCTTTCTTGACTTTTGCTCTGTGGTTCTTGAACCAAACCTGCAGTATGGTGGGATGTATCTCCAGTTTCGAGGCCATTTCTTTCTGAAGGCTGGGAGTGGGGTATGGGTTCTTGCTGAACAAGAATTCTAAATCTGCCAGTTGTTTCTCAGTGAACATGGCTCGTTTCCTTTGTGAATGTTTCTGATCCTTTCCTTTAGGAAGGTCCCCTGCGCCTGCCATCCCATCTAGCGGGGTCCCCATGCTCTGGTCCTGTGTCAAGGGGGGCGGGCAGCAGTTCTGATACACCTCTCACTCTGGGTTGAGAATCATGACTGGGGTTGATGTTCTGTGTTACCACAATATTGATAAGTAGAGCATTCCTTTGAGTAGTAACTAAACTTTACATATATGTGTGTTGATTATTGAATGTGTCAGTCTTCTAGATGTTACCTATATTTAAAGAGGTAGCCATTTTTTTTCATAGTCTTATATCTATTTAGCAAATTCTATACATTTTTTCATCAGAAAACCTTTTAAGGTTTTCCTTGACACATTATTTTCCTGAAACCACTTCTTACTAGTTCAGGCCCCTACTCTCAGCATTATTTAAGCCTCCTTACTTGTATCCTTTCAGCCTGTCCCCTTATAGTGTTTTTTAATGGCCAACAGATTAATAAAATTTTCTTCAGATTAATCTTTGCCCTTCAGATATTCTTGTGATTCAAATCTGGACTCTCTCCTGACATTTAAGGCCGTTTACAATTAAACTGCAGTTTACCTCTTTATTTCCTCCTGGAATTTTCCCTCCTATGAGGTGGTTCTATTCCTCAAGTATGTCTTCTAAATTCACTGGATTTCTGTAGATTTTACTATCTATAGAATTTATTTGGCATTTATATGTTATCATTTTTTTAAAGATTTATTTGAGAGAGAGAACGCATGCACGTGCACTTGCACACGTGTGTGCACATGCACACACACACACAAGTGGGGGGAGAGCCTGAGGTAGGGGGAGAGAGAGGATCCACAAGCAGACTCCCCGCTGAGTGTGGAGCCCGATGCAGGGATTGATGCCAGGACCCTGAGATCATGACCTGAGTTGATACCAGGAGTCAGCCACTTACCTGACTGAGCCACTCAGGTGCCCCTGTTATTTCCTTAATGAGCATCTTTACTGTTTCCTTGGACAGATGGAAAGCTCTTTGACTAGTGCACTGCATAGCATACTTTCCATGTTGATCAAAATGTGTCAAAAACAGCACACATAGTCATAAAATATGCTTTTCATATTTCTGTTCCTAATTGATCCATTACTTAAAATATAAATATATTTTGTACAATACCAAACTTTGTAGTTTATTTTCACTTAAATGAAATGTACTAATACGAGATAGGATAATTCATAGAATACCTAGAAATTTAGGTTTAAATAATTGAATGCTTTTAAACTTCCTAGGGCAGAGGAGAGGGGTTAAGTTAGCTAATTAAAAGAATCCATAGGGGCGCCTGGGTGGCTCAGTCGTTAAGCGTCTGCCTTCGGCTCAGGTCATGATCCCAGGGTCCTGGGATCGAGTCCCGCGTCAGGCTCCCTGCTCTGCGGGAAGCCTGCTTCTCCCTCTCCCACTCCCCCTGCTTGTGTTCCCTCTCTCGCTGTGTCTCTCTCTGTCAAATAAATAAATTTAAAAAATCTTTAAAAAAAAAAAAAAAAAGAATCCATTGGATAAGCTTTGCTAAAAAGAAGTCTTATTTGTTAAAGAAATAAATACTCCTTATTGATCTGTATTACAAATTTGAAATTTGTTTGCAGGGCAGATTCCTTGCATTAGGATGTTAGTGTAGGTCTTGTAAACCTTTATCATTGCTATTTTAATGTGAGTTATAGAGACTATAAAAATGTTCCAAGTAGGATTTTTGAAAGATTAACTGCTTTTCCCTAATGTGAGAATGCTGGAAATATAGGAAACATGTTTTCTAGTATTAAATTCTAGCTGTTAGCCACCATGAATTGATTTTTTAAAGGATTTTTAAAATATTTATTAAAATCATAGGTTACATTATAATGTTTCTTTCATTAAATTTTTTTTTTAAAAGCTAATACTACAAAGGGTGAATAATTGAACAGCATTTGAAGGGTTGTTTAAAGAGGAAAGCTGGAAAGCTGACAGTATATATGGCACTGTTCAAATTGGAAAATCTTAAAAAGATTTTTAAAATTTGTAAAGTTAAAAAGTTATATTGTATAGTGTCATCTGTAAGATTCACAACTCGTTTGTCTTTTAATTTTTTAAATTAGGAAAATATATTGGAGAGGATTCATTTTCACATAGTACCAAGCAGAGATGCAGACATGTGTACCTCCAAGTCTTGTATCACTCACCAGAAGTTTGCTATGACTCTGTATGAACAGGTGAGATGGCTTAACCACTTCATTAGTTATTCTCTTTGTTATTATTACGTTTGTTTGCATACATTTATACATATATATTACATATTTAAATATATGTAACATATATATTATATTTATGTTTTATGGTTGATAAATTAAACATATGTTTTTACCTGTAGTGTGTGTGTCGCAGCTGTGGAGCATCATCAGATCCTCTACCTTTTACAGAATTTGTGCGGTACATTTCTACAACAGCCCTATGGTAAGAACCTACTAAAGCATGTTTACCGAAGATGTTAATAACGCATTTGAGCACATTGAGCACTTATTTTATAAAACCATAACATATGTGAGTATCTGTTCTCTGTCTTAGACCTGAAAATATGCAACCATCAGAGGTACTAAGTGATATCTGTCTCAGCTGGCTGTTCCTGATTTGGCCAGAAACTGTACACTTGATGAAATTTCCAAATATTAGTCAAAATTTGTATCTTTTTATATTTATAGCAAGTTTTGGGAATTTTAAAGGAGACCTTAAAATGACAAGTTCAATGGTAAATGGAGCTGCACGTGATTTCTTCATTTTTCCTAAGGTGTTATCTTTGTAGTAACAGTGTTTCCCGTCAGCTCCATGTCCCTTCATGGTGATGGAAGCCAGGGTAAGAAGAGAAGAAAGAAAAAGGTGAAATTAATTCCCCGTTAGATTTATTTCATTTAAGGCCTCAACATTCACCTGAAATAAAAATTTGCCATGCTTGCCTGTCCCCTCCCTCCCTGCCCATGAAACATTAGCGAGTTAGAGATCCAAAATGATCCCTAGACTTTACATAATAAGAGTAGTTTAAACACTTCCTCACAGGTATTAGAAAATATAAATATTTGATATATGATAAACATTGAGTAAAATCATAAATATTTACAGGCATTTTGATACAAAAAACAAAACATGGATCAATAATTATCAATCAATACATTAGTACAAAAGTTAGTTACTAAATGCTACCAATATTTTTATCATTGTGCAAAATGAAATTCAGGTGCTTATCTGTTTCATTATATTATTAAACTTCCTGGCTATTTTGCATATGACACAATATTTCTTGAAGATTATTGAACAATAGCAATTTGATTATTTGAGTGTGTTTAGTGTCTTAATATATACAGAGTTGGGGAGCATTGTTTTGGGAAGCGTTCCCTAAACTTCAGTCAGTTATAGATTCATTTTTTTTTTTTACTTTGTATGAAAAGTAGGATGGTGTTTGAACAAGGATAGGCCACACATTACAAACCGTAAAACTTTAAGCCTACTCGGAAACTCTTATATAAAATGACAGTGCTTTGATTCAGTATCTTATGTAACAAGAGTTGGAGCTCCATTAGTCTGTCCCTGGTCCACACCACCAATTGCAAGAAACCAGACTTTGAACTCTAATTATGGTTGATCCTTCAGATAACACAGGTTTGAACTGCACAGGTCCACTTAGATGCAGATTTTTCTCAATAAATATATGTACAGTACTGTAAATATATTGTCTCTTCTTTAGATTTTTTTTTTTTTTAAGATTTGTTTATTTGAGAGAGAGAGCGTGCACACGCAAGCAGAGGGAGGGGCAGAGAGAGAGGGGGAGAGAGAGAATCTCAGGCAGACTCCCTGCTGTTTGTGGAGCCCAATCCAGGGCTCGATCTCATAACCCTGAGATCAAGACCTGTGCCGAGATCAAGAGTCTCACACTCAACCAACTGAGCCACCCAGGTGCCCCCTTGATGATTTTCTTAATAACATTTCCTTTTCTCCAGTTTTTTGGAAGAATATAGTATATGATACATATAACACAAAGTGTGTGTTAATTGACTGACTATTATTGGTAAGGCTTCTGGTTAATAGTAGGCTATGAGTAGTTAACTTTGAGGGGGGTGTCAAAAGTTATATGCTAATTTTGGATTGTGTGAGGGTCGGCGCCCCTTACCCCATGTTGTTTAAGTGTCAACTATAATCACCTTCTTTGTATTGGTAATAAGTATTGGATACCAATTACAGAATTCCAGGCTTTATATAAATCATCATTTTTAATGTTAACAAAAACACTATTTTGAATGTACAATTTGAATGAGCTTATCAGATTTAGTGCTTTCTCATATACTTGTGAAGTGCTTTAGAAGAATAGGTGCTTTTAGTTGTTATTGAATACTGTATATTAAACCGTGGAACTGTAAAATATATCCAGCTCTAGGATAGTTAATATTACCACTAAGCAGAACCAGAGCATCTAGAATGGAAAGTAGTAAGGATATTTGAGCTTTTATTACATTTCTTTTTGGAAATGTTTAAATAGTTATTTAAAGATAATACGTTGATATATAAAAATTTGATTCTAAAGTAGACTAAACAAAAAGTGGCACAGATATCCTGCCTAGGCTCTAATGAAATGGTTAGCACTTATAAGGCACAAGCCCGGCCTAAATAGTTTTGGTTTTGACTTCTGCATTAATCAGCAAAGGACCCCTCTGTTAGCTGAAAATGATACCTTTGTTTCTGAGAACTTTAGGCCAGAGAGGAAGTTTTTCCAATAATTTGTTGTTCTTGTTAGGCCAAAGTTGAAACTCAAGTCCCTACTTGTTAAGTAATAATAGAAACATTTGACTTAGAACTACCTCCAGATGGATCATCTTATCACCTCGTTCATGTAGTTCCAAACAATGGTAAAATTTAGTGTTATTCTATTCTTGACCTAATTTTTTTCATCATACACCTGCCAAATTTCATAATTTTTCACTGTATGGAAATTTACTTTATAGTTTTCAAACAGAACCTGTTTTAAGACAGAAAAAGCAACCATACCCATATTGATAACTTGGTATTTTTCATGCCTAATTTGTTAGATCTTTTTAAAGTTCATAGTACACATTTGAAACTGCTGCTTTCTTTTGTAGCAATGAGGTAGAAAGAATGATGGAAAGGCATGAACGTTTTAAGCCTGATATGTTTGCAGAATTGCTGCAAGCAGCAAATACGACTGATGACTATAGGAAATGTCCTGTAAGTATAATTTGGAGAATATTAGTGTGCTTCTATGTTTGTAAATTTGAAAATAGATACTCAGAAATTACCATGAAAATACTAATTATACCTGGACTTGATTTTAAGAATTTATTTTTTTCAGGGGCGGCTGGGTGGCTCAGTCGTTGAGCATCTGCCTTCGGCTCAGGTCATGATCCCAGAGTCCTGGGATCGAGCCCCGCATCGGGCTCCCTGCTCTGTGGGAAGCCTGCTTCTCCCTCTCCCACTCCCCCTGCTTGTGTTCCCTCTCTCGCTGTCTCTCTCTGTCAAATAAAATCTTTAAAAAAAAAAAGAATTTATTTTTTTCAGTGTTATTTTAGGCAACTCTTTATACCATGTGAGCTATTTATTTGAGCACTATTTCTTTAAAAACTCTTTGTGAAGGATTTAAGTTAGTGTATGCTGATTATTTTTTTTTTTTTTTTTGAGAGAGAGAGAGAGAGAGCGAGCATGCAAGCAGTGATGGAGGGGAGGGGCAGAGGGAGAGGAGAGAGAGAATCTTAAGCAGACTCCCTGCTGAGCATGGAGCCCTAGGTGAGGCTTGATCTCACAACCCTGAGATCATGACCTGAGCTAAAATCAAGTGTCGGGTGCTTAAGTGACTGAGTCACCCAGGTGCCCCCTGATTAATTTTTTTAAGTTCTGAAATCTATCGTTTGACTAAAGAGAAAGTTTATTTATTTTCATTTAAACATTACAAATGGTACCATTCTTTTCTAATGTAATATTATTAATGACTTCAGTGTTCTATTTCTCATTTTTTTAGATAGACTTCTTGTTTTAACAGATTTAAAAAATACCAAAGAAAAGTACTTCGATTTAAAATAAACTTACTTTTAATCAATACTTAGACAAATAATTTGATAAAAGTGAATTTTAGTATGCTGAACAAATAATTTTCTGGTATATGTAAAGATTGTTACTGTTTAATACAAACTGTATAAGGCATTACCTATGGTATATCTATTTCAGTAATTTCAAAATTTGCCTTTTGTGTTTTTCTTTAGAGTAACTGTGGCCAAAAAATAAAAATTCGCCGTGTTTTAATGAATTGCCCAGAGATTGTTACAATTGGTTTAGTATGGGATTCTGAGCATTCTGACTTGACTGAAGATGTTGTTCGGAATCTAGCAACACATCTTTATCTTCCTGGGGTATCTCAACTGTTTTCATTCTCTTCCTTTTTGTTTTTAAATTCTTTTAAAACATATTCATGTTTTATAATACACTTGTTTTTCAGAACTAACTTTTCTTTCTAAAGAAAATAACATTCAGATATAATGCTGATAAAGTTCATCAAATCAGGCTAACTGGAATGCCTTTCTTGCATAGACTAGGAATAGCTTTCAATTATAAACTGTCTCATGCTCTAATTCTGTATTACTCTAGAATGATGATAGTGATGTGTGTCTTTGTGTGTGTGTGTGTGTGTGTATGGTAATGACAAGTATAAATGTTAACCTAGAAAGGTTTAAGATTCAGAAATCATCTACAGCACTGATCTCTTAATATGCTTATTAACATTTTAATATATTTTGAATTGGTTTATATTACAATTAAACTTTTAGATAATTAACTTTTAGATAATATGTTTCATGTATGTTCAAATATGTGATTCAATCAAAAATTATTAGGAATTGTGTAATTTATCCCACATTTCCAGTTTATGTATATAAAGTGTCAAGATACTGGGTTACTGAACTAAATTGTAGTGAATTCATTTTATTGGAGGAAGAGTAATAGTTATAGTTAATATTAAGTAATAGTTAAGAGTAATTCTATTCAGTACAATCTCAGTGATACCTTCTGTACTAATATAATATTGAATTAGGGAAGCTTGCATAAGAAATTTTTTCATAGATAGTCAAATACATAACTCACAAAATTATTGTTCCTCATTTTTAAAAAGATACAGTATTAAATATACATTGTTATTTTTTAAACAGCTTTTTTATAGAGTTACTGATGAAAATGCCAAAAATAGTGAACTTCACCTAGTTGGTATGATCTGCTACACCAGCCGACATTATTGTGCCTTTGCTTTTCATACCAAGAGTTCCAAATGGGTATTTTTTGATGATGCAAATGTGAAAGAGGTAAGTGACACTTTCACTGGGATAATTATTGTGACTTTTACTTTTTAGGAATAAATGAAATAATATATAAAATGTGTATTACATAATATGTAAAAAAATGATTGTATGTAAACATTTCTTATATAAAATAATAACCTTAATGATAATAGTATTGTTAAGTTCATACTTCCTTTTAATTTTTGAAACCTGGTTTATTTTAAAGCCAACTTTTAAGCCAGTCCATTTCCAGAATAATAAAAAAGGTGACTAATAAATGTTAGAATGCAAATATGTAACTGTCATTGATTCATATGTCTGATACATTTTGTCTGATACATAGTTGCTCTGTGTATTTCTTTGTGAATGATTCACAATTGCTTTGTATAATTAGTGATGAAAATCTGCTTGTTTTTTAAATTATTATGACTGCCTTTTCAAACTTTGTGTATGGTATTCAGAATTAGATATGCATATTATATCTTTTGGTAAATAACTTATTCAAACATTATAATATCTAGAAAACTAGTGAATAATAGTTTGTAGTAAGGAGTATGTATGAGAATCACCTTTGGAACTTTTGAAAAAACCGGTACCTGCCTGCACTCTTACATTCTCAATTCAGAGGTGTAGAGGCCAATACCTGATTTTTTTTTTTTAAAGTTCTATAGGAGATTCAAATTTTTCCACGTTTGAAAACTGTTGATCTTGTCAGTACTATGCCTGGATGTATTGGCTTTGAGAATCCTATTATTAAGCAGTAAATGGATTTAAAGTACAAATTATTTCACTGTTATAAGCAAATGATGTACAATTCCATTTGCTTTCATTTTAATGTAGAAGAAAGGGCCATTTATCAGCATTATGAATTACTAAGTCAGGAGAAGTTCAAATATTCAGTATTTAGTGGATTTCTAATTGTTTCTATGAAGGATGAACTGCTATGGAAGTAGCCCCTCCAATATTAAAAATTAGAAAACCAAATAGATGAAACAACTTTTTTAGACATTGGATAGCGGGCAGTTGAACAGAAAAAAGGAAACAAACAAGATGAGCCCTATTATTATTCCCATTTACTGCCTACAGATAGTTTTTACACTGCAGGGAGGTGGAACTCAAACAAAGCCTAGACATCTCATTGAGTTGAGGAAACCGAGATTGGAGTTCAGGAAGCCAAGATGGCTAAAATTCACTGGACAGATTACCAGAAAGAATACTGCACAGAGGGAAAGTTCTGGAGATTGGTAGATGGGTCCCCTTTAATTTTTGGCTGAATAGTGATCTGACGTGTGGAGCAAACCTGCACAAGGTGGGGGAAAGAATTACTGGAAAACAGAAGGTCAGACGATTTTCAAAATTCATACAGGGCTAGGAATAGTTTGCATCCACACCAGCAAGAGTGGAAAGATGTTGTAATGCATAGAGCAACAAATAGAATCCTCAGAAAAGTACCACCTTAATAATGGGGCTAAATTATACCTAGCCTGAATACTGCTCTGGACCTGGCATAAAAAGCCTAAAATGAAGTCTTCAAAGGACCAAGATGATCCTACATAACTTAACAAATGCCAGAATGAAGTCCAGTACTTTTTAAAAGAACACAACAAAATTCACCCAAAAATATAAATTTCAATTAAATTTCAATATGGCATTTCAAGATAGTATTCAATAAAAAATTACGAAATATGTGGAGAAGTAGGAAAATCACCCATACCCGTATTAATAGAAACAGACCCATTCCACTACTCCATTTCTTCCAATCACATGATATGGGGGTGAGGAAGCAAGGTAGAGAAATGAAGTACACCTTCTGTTCTCTCAGGAACTTCATCAACCTCACCATTCCTACCCTCAAAAAAGGGTTCTGGGTAATAATCAGGTGACATCCAAGGTCATGTCCAGGCCAGCTCTAATATTAAATCATTAAAAAAAAAAGACCCAAAATGGCAGAGATGGAAGTATCAGACAAGAATGTTACAACTTCTGTTTCAGTGTAGAGAGAGTTATTGGATAACAGTCAATAAACATGGACCATAAAGATAATCGATAAATTGGATTTCATCAGAACTTTTGCTCTTCAATAAGATACTGTTAGGAGAATAAAAAGGCAAGCCATAGACAGGGACAGAATATTTGTCTAGCATATATCTAATAAAGGCTATATCCAGAGTATATAAAGACTCTTACGACTCAATAAAGAAAGACAAATTGGGGCGCCTGGGTGGCTCAGTTGGTTAAGCGACTGCCTTCGGCTCAGGTCATGATCCTGGAGTCCCGGGATCGAGTCCCATATCGGGCTCCTTGCTCGGCAGGGGGTCTGCTTCTCCCTCTGACCCTCCCCCCTCTCATGTGCTCTCTCTATCTCATTCTCTCTCTCAAATAAATAAATAAAATCTTTAAAAAAAAGAAAGACAAATTGATTAAAAATGGGCAAAAAAGATAATAGGGAAAGATAGTGGAGTAGGAGGACCCTATGCTCACCTCGTTTCATGGATCCAATTAGATAACACTCACATCAATGTAAATAATCCAGAAAACTGCCTGAAGACTGGCAGAACAAACTCCACAACTAAAGGTAGAGAAGAGGCCACCTCAAAGAGGGTAGGAAGGGCAGACATGATGGGGAGCTAAACAGATCACAGGCTGTCTGTAGAAGGGAGGGACTTGCGGGTGAAGAGAAGGGAGAGAAACAGACTATCACACTGGGAAGACAAATCCCTATAACATTTGGCTTTGAAAACTAGAAGGGCCAAATTCTGCGAGTTCTTACAACCAGTAGGACTTAATACTAGCAAACTGAATCCAACAATACATTTTAAAAAAATCATTCACCACAGTCAACTGGGATTTATTCCTGGGTTTGTGAGGGTGATTCAGTATTCACAAATGAATCAACATGATACGCCACATTAATATAAAAGAAAGGATAAGAACCCTGTGATCTTTTCAATAGATGCAGAAAAAGCATTTAACAAAGCACAATGTCCATTAATGATAAAAACCCTCAACAAAATAGGTTTAGAGGGAACATACCTCAATGTAAGAAAAGCCATATATAAAGAACCCACAACTAACATCATAGTGGGGAAAAAAAAGAACTTTTATAGTCAGGAACATAACAGGGATGTCCAGTCTCATCACTGTTAATTTAACATAGTACTGGAAGTCCAAGCCATAGCAATCAGACAACAAAAAGAAATAAAGGCATCCAAATTGGTAAGGAAGAAGAAAACCTTCACTATTTGCAGACAACATGATGCTCTATGTAGAAAACCTAAAAGACTCCACTACAAAAATTGCCTGAACTGATACACAAATTCAGTAAAGTCACAGGATACAAAATGTACAGAAATCTGTAGTATTTCTACATACCAATAATGAAGCAGCAGAAAGAGAAATCAAGAAATCAATCCCATTTACAATTGCACCCAAAACTATAAAATATATAGGAATAAACATAAGCAAAGAGATGAAAGACCTGTACTCTGAAAACTATAAAACACACATGAAAGAAATTGAAGATGATGACAGAAATGGAAGAACATTCCATGCTCATGGAAAGACAATATTGTTAAAATGTCCATACTACCCAAAGCAATTTACACATTTAATGCAACCCCTATCAAAATACCACCAGCATTTTTCACAGAGCTGGAACAAACAATCCTAAAATTTGTATGGAACCACAAAAGACCCCAAATAGCCAAAGCAACTTTGAAAAAGAAAAGCAAAGCTGGACACATCACAATTCTGGACTTCAAGTTATAATACTTGAAGTTATTTTACAAAGCTGTGGTGGTCAAAACAATATGGTACTGGCACAAAAATAGACATAGATCACTGCAACAGGATAGAAACTCGGAATGGAACTCACAACTATATGGTTAATTAATCTTTGACAGAGCAGGAAAGAATATGCAATGGGAAAAAGACAGTCTCTTCAACAAATGGTGTTGGGAGAAGTGGACAGCAACATACAGAAGAATGAAACTGGACCACTTACATCATACAAAAATTAAAAATGGATTAAAGACCTAAATAAGAGACTTGAAAGCATAAAAATCCTAGAGGAAAACACAGGCAGTAACCTCTTTGACATCAGTCGTAGCAACTTCCTTCTACATATGTCTCCTGAGGCAAGGGAAACAAAAGCAAAACTAATGGGACTTCATCTAAATAAAAAGCTGTACAGCAAAGGAAACGGTCAATAAAACTAAAAGGCAGCCTACAGAATGGGAGAAGATATTTGCAAATGACATATCTGATAATGGGTTGGTATCCAAAATATATGAAGAATTTATAAGACTTACCACCTGAAAAAATGAATAATCCAATTAAAAAATGAGCAGAAGACATGAGCATTTCTCCAAAGAAGTCATACAGATGATCAATAGACACATGAAGAGATGCTCAACATCACTGATCAGCAGGGAAATACAAATCAAAACTACAATGAGATATCACCCCACACATGTCAGAATGGCTAAAATCAACAACTAGGAAACAACAGATGTCAGTGAGGATGTGGAAGAAGGGGAACCCTCTTGCACCGTTTGTGGTAATGCAAACTGGTACACCCACTCTGGAAAAGTGTGGAGGTTCCTCAAAAAGTTAAAAATAGAACTACCCTATGATCCAGCATTGCACTACTAGGTATTTAGCCAAAGAATACAAAAATACTAATTCAAAGGGATACGTGCACCGCAATGTTTGTAGCAGCATTATCAACAACAGCCAAATTATGGGAACAGCCCAAATGTCCATCGACTGATGAATGGATAAAGAAGTAGTAGGGTGGATGTATGCATGCATGCAATGGAATATACATGTACAGCCATAAAAAATGAAGTCTTGCCGTTTCCAATGACATGGATGGAGCTGGAGAGTATTATCCTAAGTGAAGTAAGTCAGAGACAAATACCATATGATTTCACTCATATGTGGAACTTAAGTAGAAACAAACAAACAAAGGGAAAAAGAGAGAGAGGCAAAGCAAGAAACAGACTCTTAACTGTAGAGAACAAACTGATGGTTATAAGAGGGGAGGGGAGTGGGGGATGGGTGAAATAAGTGATGGGGACAAAGGAGTGTACTTGTGATGAGCACCGGGTGTTGTGTAGAAATGTTGAATCACTAAATTATGTACCTGAAACTAACACTGTATGTTAACTAGCTGGAATTTAAATAAAAACTTAAAAAAAATTAAATTACATAAACTAACACACACACACACACGAAATATGCTCATAATAGATATGTGACTTGCCTAGCATTTTCCTTATGATTCTAATCCAGAAATGGAGGTAGAGAAAAGGAGAGAATAAGCACTCCCAGGCAAACTGTGACATGTAAAATTTAACTTGAAAACCTCCACATCCCTTTTCTTCTTCCTTTTCCCCAACCATGATGTGTCCCTCTCCCTGAGAGCTCCTGTCCCCTATGACTCCACAACAGTTGATGCTCTGCTCCAGAAAGAGTTTAATAGGTTTATTTCCAGGGTGCTTTTGTTTGTTTGTTTGTTTTTTTGTGTTTTGGCTCTATCAAAATTTTTTTTTAGCAGCAAGGCCAAATGAAAGGAAAATTGGTGGGTCCAGGAAGTCCTACAGAGAGCTACCAAGGTCACACCATACTGTAGTTGGTCACCTTACATACCTTTAAAGAAAGTCATGAGAAAAGTAAATCTGACCCAGGTGTCTTAATATTAGCAAAGAAACTCAACAGTAGTGTCACAAGGACTGGTAGGAGGAGGACTTCTCAAGCCTCATGTAGCTGTGAGTGACTTCACCACCCTGAGTGACTCCTGGGTCTTTGGATGTACATACTGCATAGTGCCCTGGTGGCTCATGGGAATGCATGAAGGGCCGTCTGGAGGGCTGGCCTGACAAGGTGAGAGGAGTACTCCCAGTATCATTCTTGCCTCACAGTCAGTCAGGAGAATCCCCTCAGGGGCCTCCCTTCTCTCCTGTCATACGAAGTGCAGTTTGTTTTGCCTTGTCGGCTCGTGAACCTTTGTAATACACATCAGGAGCTGAGTAGCCAGAGCAGCTAGAAGAAGGCAAACAGCTACTGACCATAGGAAGGGAGCAGGCATGGAAAGAAGAAAATAGTGAGAGACACGAGAGCCTTCCAAGTCTGAGTTTGTCAAACAAGGTCTTTTTGGAGTTTGGGATGAAAGAGAATCCAGCCGTAGGTGTGAAAGAAGGAAAGCGCAAAATGAAAAAAAAAAAAGAATCGCAAGGTTTTTGTGTGCATGCATTATTAGTTGTAATTCCTTTTTTTTTTTTTTTTTTTTTGCATAACTAAAATAAAGGTTTAGTTTTCTATTAAATAAAAATTCGGGAATTTAAAAAATCTGTGGGCTCAGTGTGCAAGAACCCAAGAGTGGAAAACCATAGGAAGCTGAGTCCCTGCCCTTAAAAAATGATACTCAGTAAACTATTAGGTATAAAGTAAATACAAATTCAGTTCACAATAAGATTCTGTTACTCATGTGTTAGAATAGCTAAAATTAAAAAGACTGACCATTCTAAGAGTTGGTGAAGATGTGGAATAGCTAGATCTCTCACAGAAGACTGATGGAAATGCAAAATGAACAGTCATTTTAGAAAACTGTTTATCAAATTCTTACAAATTTAAAAATGTACTTCCATAGATACTAGTAATTCCACTCCTATAAAAACATTATGGGGTGCCTGGGTGGCTCAGTCGGTTGAGCGACTGCCTTCGGCTCAGGTCATGATCCTGGAGTCCCGGGATCGAGTCCCGCATCGGGCTCCACTCAGTGGGGAGTCTGCTTCTCCCTCTGACCCTCCTCCCTCTCATGCTCTCTGTCTCTCATTCTCTCTCTCACACAAATAAATAAAATCTTAAAGAAAAAAAAAAAGATAACCTTTAAAAAAAAAAAAAATTATGTCCACACAAAACTTGTACTTGAATGTTTATAGTAGTTTTGTTCATAATAACCAAAACTGGAAACAACTCAAATGTCCATCAACAGTGAATGGATAAACTGTGGTATAACCATTCAATGGAATATAATACTTAATGGTAACCTTTAAAGAGCAGAAGTTATTAATTTATTTTGATATGAAGCCCATTTTATAACTTTTTTCTTCTGTGGTGTGATATCCTTTTTTTATTTTTCTGAAAGAGAGTGTGTGTGTGCATGTGCAAAAGTGGGGGGAGGGACAGAAGGAAAGGGAGAAAGAATCTCAAGCAGGCTCCACACTCATTGCAGAGCCCTTGACCCCATGATCCCCAGGTCATGACCTGAGCTGAAACCAAGAGTCAGATTCTCAACCAACTGAGCCCTCTAATCGCCCCTGTTTGATGTCCTAAGAAATGTTTACCTTCTCCAAGGTTAAGATTTTCTCCTTTGTTTTTTCCTATAAACTTTAAGTTTTTGTGTGACTCGTTCTGATTTAATTGTTGTGTTTTATGTGTAGTGGTGTCAAAGTTCATTTTTTCATACGGCCATCCAGTTGTTCCAGCCCCTTGTTGAATAGAATCTTATATTTCTCCATTAAATTAACCTTTAAATCTTTGTCAAAAGTCAGTCAACCACATACATAGAAAAGCTTTTTAAAATTTGTTAGTCTAAATCTTGATATAGTAAGTGTACGATTTTGCTCAACTTTTCAATGATAACATTTAAAAGATGTTTATTAGACAAGTTTAAGACAAAAGTAATCATATAATATGATGAACAATTGAACTGCTAGTGTCTGAATTCTTTAAATTTTTTTAATATACAAATTTAGTCTCTGCTATTCAAATATATAACACATTGATTACAAGATTTTGTTTTGTTTTTGTTCATTGTGGGTTTTTTTAAAGGTTGGGACTAGATGGAAGGATGTGGTCTCCAAATGTATCCGATGCCATTTCCAGCCACTGCTTTTGTTTTACGCAAACCCAGATGGCACAGCAGTTTCTACTGAAGATGCACTTAGGCAGGTCATCAACTGGTCACATTATAAATCCGTTGCAGAAAATATGGGTAATTTTTAAAAGTTCTTTTTAGTGTTCTTTATAGTATCATAGTCATACTAAGTATTAATATAGTGAAGATAAAATGAATTTTGAGGATAATTTCAAAATTCAGTTTCAGTAAAGCAGAATTCAGGAAAATTCTTACTTGGAGTTAATCTTTATAAGGAAGGCTTTCCCCACCAGTGGCCTCCAAAGCACCCTCAGGCGCCACCCACTTCTGTGGTCACACAAGCACAGAAGGGGATACTTGACTGGAAGCTCTTTCTAGCAATAAAAATTGAGAGTTAAAGTGAGTTATACCCTGAAAAAGTCCAAAGGAGCCAGGCCATTTTTGGATGCATTACAAAGCAGATAGAAATCCTTTAAAAATGTCAGTCCTTTGAGTTTATAAGCAGTTATCCACAATACTAAAAATGATTCAGGGGAGCCTGGCTGGCTTGGTCAGTGGAACATGACTCGATCTCAGGGTTGTGAGCTCGAGCTCCACACTGGGTGTAGAAATTGCTTAAAAAAAAAAAAAAAAATTCAAACTTCTTTTCTTCTGGTGGGGAGGAGGATGGGAATAATACGTTTTTGTTTGTCTTTTAAGGATGTGAAAAGCCCTCAATTTATAAATCAGATAATTCAAAAGAAAATGGATTTGGTGATCAGGCAAAACAGAGAGAAAATCAGAAATTTCATACAGATAATACATCATCATTTAATCGGAGCCACATTCAAACAAGTGATGGTAGAGGACAAGGTATGTGTTTATTGTTATTTTCACATTGTCCCTGAGTGATTACGTTTCCCCCTTTCCTCTTTACTGAATCTGTAATTTCTGGTAAGTACCATAGAAAAGAAGGGTGCTTAACTAACTTTGCTTGGCCATGAAGAGAAAATAACAACTAGATAGCAAAATTTTGTCTTTTACGCATTTCTCTCAGACTTCTAGTTTGATCTGAACAGTTGGACTCGACTACTGTTTGGGTTCCTCCATACACTCAGAGCTGTAGTAGGCTTGAGGCAATCTGGACAGTTACCAAAGAAAGTCAGAATATGGCCTTCTAGGAGTTAATTATTAACTTGGAGAGGAAAAACATGAGTTAATAATTTGGCACATATGCTAAATTTAAATTTACCATTAGTGAATGCAACAGTAGTAGTTCAAAGTTATTATAGTTGTACTTTATACTTAAGCTCATTTTTATTCAACTCTGTCTTGTTATTGTCATCTCACAACTTTAATTTTCACAAACCAAGTTCTGTGACTTGGGTCCAAAATAAGACATTGCAGCATGGTGTGTATAGTTATGGTTTAGAAATTTATTGAACTCTGAGTAGGTTGATGTTCAGGATGATTTTATAAGCGGCTTTAAAATGCATTAATGAAATAATGTCTAGCCATAAAAGTAACCCATTTAATCAAGGGTGGTAGGATCCAGAATTAACAATTGTCATCAACAAAGAATTACAATAAATGCTTTTAAAAGTTCTTAATGGAACTATACCTTTTACCCTCTGTATTGTCATACTCTTAGATTAAGCTGTTTGTCAAAAGAGAACTACTTTTAAGCCCAGAAACTGTATATGTGATTACAAACACAAACATTAGAACCAGACAACTTGGGTTCGTAATCCTGGTTCTACATTTACAAGCTCTGTGAACTTGGGCAAGTTTTCAACTTCTCTGTGCCTCAGTTTCCTAATCCACAATGGAGGCGGTAATTGTACCCACCTCAAAGAATTAAATGAGTTAAGACTTATAATAGTGTCTGACACATAGTGACCACTCAGTTACCTTTAGCTTTTATTATTTCAATACAAGATCTCTTTTTTCCTTTTACACTAGCTTTAGGAGCAATACAAGAAGTTTTAAAAGCCAACATGCATCTCCAGTGTCAGAATAAATCACATTGAGTTTTTTGGTTAAACATAAAAAAATGAGTTCATTGTATACTTTATATTTTGTTTTTAACATATAGCATCTTAAAATTTTTATATAGTTCAATTTGTACTTTTGTTGAGCAATTTGAAAAATGATCTATATCATTTATAAGAATGATTTCTTTTACAGTTAAGTCAAGTCACAGTGATCAAAGGGAAAAAATAAAAGACATTTCCAGAGAATGTGCTTTAAAAGCCATTGAACAGAGAAACTTACTTTCCTCACAAAGGAAAGATTTGGAGAGGGGACAAAGAAAAGATTTGGGCCGACATAAAGGTAAGTTAGAGCTAATAGTGTTCATTTGAAAAGGAGTTGCTAAAATCCTATTTTTAAACCAAATTTTATAACTTTAATACAACTTAATATAATTCATTTATATTTATTATATATATTTGTTTACATGTTATATATCTCAATATTATTTCTTTAATACACCTATTAAATCTATAAATATAAAACTTTTCTAGTTCTTATTTAATTCTGGCCTGGAATACCTGTGCTTTTTCTAATGTTTTAACTTTCCTTTTAATTATAAATTCAATTCACCCATATGGTACAGTCAAATAAGAAGGAAGGTTATAAAATTAAGTGAGAAGAGCAGCCCCTCACCTTCCCTCTGTTTCACTGTTAATAGTGTGCAGTTCATTATGAGCATGTCTTACTCTTTATGGCTTTATCCTCTTTTCTTAAGGACATACCACAATTTAAATGATAAACTTGCTAGACTTTAAAACTTGATTTAAGATTTTTGCTGCAGTGATATCCTTTTACATATACCTTTGTGTCCTTTTTTGTGTATAGCCGGAGCATAAAATTATTTCAGGAGAATTGCTGGGTTGAGGTGTGTTTATTCTTAATTTTGATGGATGTGGCTCAGTTGCTCTCCTAAAAGACTGAACCAGTCTGCACTCCCACTGACTGTGATTAGATGTCTGCTTCTTCACATTCTTATCAGCAGTTGGCTTAACAAACTTTAAATCTTTACCAGTATAAGAGATGGAAAGTACTTTTATTATTATGACTTTCATTAATGATGAGTGAGATAGAATACTGGCTTTTTTTTTTTTTAAAGCTTTAACTATGATCTACTATAGAGGTCATTTTCTAAAATCAGTATATAACTACTTACCTTATAAATGCCTCTCATTAAGCATAGAGAATGAGGAAAACACTTTTCAATGTCAAATCACAATGTGAGATAATATAAATCTTATAATTATTATTCACTTACTACTGCTTAACATTTCTTCTCAAACAAGGTATTTGGCTTGTAACTAAGAAATGTCTCTGAAGAGTATTCATTTGTATCTTTATTTAATTATTTAAAGATTTGGTTGATGAAGACCTTCCACATTTCAAGTCTGGATCACCTCCTGCCCCAAATGGCTTTAGACAATATGGAAACCCACATCTCTATCATAGTCAAGGAAAAGGACCATGTAAACATGACCGAGTTGCCCATCAGAGTCGAGCTTCTGCACAAACACTGAGTTCAAGTAAATCCCAGATTCTTGCCCCAGGAGAGAAAGTAACTGGCAAAGTTAAGAGTGACAGTGGCACTGGATATGATACAGACAGCAGCCAAGATTCTAGGGATAAAGGAAGCACCTATAGTGGCAGCAGTAAAAGCCGGACCCGAGGTTGGAAACCTATGAGAGAAACGTTAAATGTTGATAGTATTTTTAATGAAAGTGAAAAAAGGCAGCATAGTCCAAGACATAAATCAAGTATCAGTAACAAACCTAAATGTAGCAAAGATCAGAGTTTTAACAACTGGCCAAAAGAAAACCCAAAGCAAAAATGTTTAATGACCATATATGAAGATGATATGAAGCAGGAAATAGGAAGCAGGAGTTCCCTTGAATCTAATGGAAAAGGAGCAGAGAAAAATAAAGGCCTCAAAGAGACTAAAGTTCATGGTGACAACTGGCAGATGCAAAGGACCGAGTCTGGATATGAAAGTAGTGATCATGTCAGTAATGGATCAGCTAATTTGGATTCACCTGTTATGGATGGAAATGGTACAGTAACGGATATCAGTGGTGTTAAAGAAACAGTATCCTGCAGGTAATGCACAAATTAAATGAATGATTTCCCCCCATCATTCTCTCCTGTTATGTGAAGTAATTTCAAAGTCTGGGGTCAATTAAGTGGGAAAGAGCTTGACTTCAGAATGAAGAGACCTCTGGGATATTACAGGTTATTTGATAGTTCAGGTTTCTGTTTTTAATAGTTATTTCCTGATTCCAAAAATATTTTTAGGAAATTTTAAAAGTACAGAAATACATTATTATTGTTGCCACTGATAACTGTTAATACATACTACAGGTTTTAAAGCATAGATTTAAATTGGTGGCGTCGCAGTCATTAAGCTAATTATTTAATTCTTCAGTCTATTTAATGTTCATTATCCCATCTCTAGTATCTGTAACTCAGAGCTGGGAATATTTTCTACTTTCACAGCCAGTTCCATGGAAGAGAGATTTTTTCCTTTAGCAAATATAAAAGAATGCAGCCAAATAACTAAGTCTGTGTTCAATTAATTTTTAATTAATTCTGAATATATTTGTATGTTACTGTTAGCAGTACATTTGCCCTTTTCTGTGTAACCTCTAAAGCATGTCCACAGCTTAATTGGCTGATTTCTTACATCAGTCTAGCCACAATTTCTGCTTTTAATCCACCTAAAACATCTTAATTTGTTATTAGCTGGTGTTTTATCACATTTATTATTAAAAAGCCAGATTTGCAAAAATCAACTGCTTGTATTTTATTAAAATAATCATTGCAATAAAGACTTCAGAAAACTTTTTTATTTGGCAGGATAATTTCATAACACATCTTGGAAAGGGGTAGCCTATGGTAGTAGAAAGATCAGGACTTTGCAACCAGATAGACTTGGATCTTAAGTATTGGGCAAATTAATTTGACTTTGACAGCCTTAATTGCCTTTTGTAAAATGAGAATGATAACTACTTTTAAGTGTTGCTGTGGCAATGTAAATTAAATAATGCACATTAATTCCCTAGAACAACACATGTCATATAATTGCTTAACAAATGTTATTTCCTTTCTTTTTCTTAGATTCTAACTAAAATAATAATTCATGATAGCTGATGTATTTGATGTATGTTTTCTTCTGTTTTCTAGTGACCACGTAAAGACAAACAACCTAAATATAGAATGTGTCAGCTCTTCCTCCCAACAGAGCAAAAACTACTTAGAAGGTAAAATTTTATTTACATATATTGTAATAGTAGCTATAAAGAATAAATTGTGGTAATAAGAGTAAAGAAGCTAGGAACAGTCCTGTTACTGATAAGATTATGAGTAATGAGGATGGAAGTTAAGAGAGTTCATGCTTTTAAAGGCTTTGAAAGGATGGGAATAGCTACTTCAGGGAACTGGCAAAGAGGGGAGTGTCAGTCAGGATAGGCTAGGTTCTAGGCTACGCAGTGGTAACAACTTCAAAATCTCAGTGTATCAACACACATTTGATTTTTGCTGATGATATATGACCAGTGGAGGCCCGAATGGAGTCTCTTCCTAGAAATCACTCAGTGCCCCAGGCTAATGAGACTCCATCTCCATAGATGCTTCTCTGAACCTTGCAGTATTGTGGGGAGAGGATATTGAGGGAGGACACAACAGTCACTTAAAACTTCAACCCAGAAGTGATACATGTATTCCCCTCAAATCTCATTGGCTGAGGCAAGTCTTACAGACAAGCCTAATTTCAAAGAGGGTGGAAAAGTAGTCTTACCTGTGCCTGGAAGGTGAACTGAAATGTGTGTGGACAGTCCTAATGTGTGCCACAGGAGTTAGGGACAGGATAGAAAAATGGATAAGCAGCCTGTTGGAAAAGTTCAGTTTGGAAAGAGTAAATATATTAATGGGGTGGCATTATTATAGGTGATCCATTACCCACACAAAGCAGCCCAGAAACAAAATTAGATGTTTCAATGTATATCGAATTCAGGGCTGCTAATGAGAGGATATACCTGAAGGATTTGGGGGAGAAGGATCAAGGAAAAGGATGAGCAAGGGGATTATTGAGGTTGCAATCAAAAACAGTATTTTCAAATGTTAGAATTCAGAGGATTAGAAGAGATACAATTTTTCACAATAAAAAATAGCCATGAAGAACAAATTTTAAAGTTTGTTTTTAATCTTTATCATTCTTAAGGCTTTTGTAGAGATTATTTCAAGGTTACAGACTTTGAATATGGTTAAATGTTAAATCATTTTGTTTTTATCAAGTGGTATAATATCAGAAGGAAACACTTATATTAAGGAAATAACCTTCCTTTCCTATATAAAATGTCTCGCCTCTTTTAAAAATCTGATAAAAGTCTGGTAAGCAAGTATTACAGGAAACAGTAAAGGGCTGGCCAGAAATCAACAGCAGAAGTCGGTGAAATTGAACAATAACCACAAGTTCAGTGCTTTTTACAAAACGATGCTTGCTTCCTGATAGTAATAAAAACATAACGTCATAGAGATTTTGATGGTCAAGAATGCATTGCTATAAGAGCTTCGCAGCGGTTTTCCCCATTTAATACGAAAGAGTATGTATGTAACCTACTTAAAAATATTTTTTTATTGTGGAAAAAAAGATATTTTTTATTGTGGTAAAGTACACATAACAAAATTTGCCATTCTAACCATTTTTAAGTGACAGTTCAGTGGTATTAAGAACATTCACATAGTTGTACAACCATCACTACCATCCACCTCCAGGTCTCTTCCAACTTCTCAGACTGAAATTCTGTACCCATTAAACAGTTCTCTATTTCCCCCTCTCTCCCAGCCCCCAGTAATTACCATTCTACTTTCTGTCTCTATGATTTTGACTACTCTGGGTACCTCAGATAAATGGAATCATACAATACTTGTTTTTTGTGACTGGCTTATTTCACTTAACATAATGTCTTCAGAGTTCATCCATGTTGTGGCATATGTCAGAATTGCATTCCTTTTTAAGGCTGGATAATGTTATGTTGTGTGATATAACACATTATGTTTATCCATTCATCTGTTGATGGACATTTGGGTTGTTCCTATCTTTTGGCTATAATGAGTAATGCTCCTGTGAACATTGGTGTACAAATACCTGAGAATTCCTGCTTTCATTTCTTTTGAGTATATACCCAGAAGTGCAATTGTGGGATTCTGTGGTAATTATGTGTTTAATTTTTTGAGGAACCGCCACACTGTTTTCAACAGCTGCTACACTATTTTACATTCCCACCAGCAATGCACAAGCATTCCAACTTCTCCATATTTTCACCAACACTTGGTGTTTTCTGGGGTTTTGTTTTGATAATTATCATCTAATCACTAATAAGTGTGCAGTGGTTTCTTACTGTGGTTTTGTGTAACCCACTTATTTGACCACATAAATTACATTATGTCAAAATTATTTCTTATTTAATTAATGTCAAAGCCTACCATAGTTCTTTAAGCTGTCTTTGCCTTGAGAATCTTTGTTAATGCTCCTGCCTAATGGTGTCTCTATGTATTCCCCTCCCCAACCCTTTGAGAACATGTTAAAGTAGTACAGGAATTTTTTTTCCCAAGCCAAAAACATACCCTGTGTGGATTTTTGTTTTTGGTAAGGCACAATTTAATTTAATTCTTTGTGATTTGCACACTTATATTATTGGCCTGAAGAATCACTTTCTGTAAGTAGCTAACAGATTTAGAAAGTTAAGGAGCTTTAGAAATTTTTTTATTTTCATATTTTGTTTGATATTTAAGTGAGTTTTTAATACAATCCAAACAAATTTGTTTGATGTCAGAGAACTAAAAATCTATAGTTGTGCCATCGTAATTATTTCTTGGTATTTTTTCATTGACAAAGATATGTAGATTTCTCTGCCTATGTCATTATGGGTTCTGCTCCCTAAAGCTATTATTTGGGAACATTGTTGAAATTTCACAGTGCCATTTAGATTATTTTAGCTCCTCTTTTAAAATGGGTCACTGATAGGAGAATTTCAAATGCCTTAAATTACATTCAAGACAGACTTTATATGTTCAAAAGTACATGGTTGGGAGAAAGTATCACATATTGTAAGAATACAGGTAGTTTGGTCTATGCAAGGCTGAGTGCGTTTGTGGAAATTATGAGATAATAGGTAGAGGGTGGACAGAAGCCAAATCATGATGAAACTTTTATGCTATTTTTAAATCCTACAGTAAGTGGAAAGGCACCAGAGGACAAGGAGAGGAATATATTCCAGTTGGCATTTTAGAAAGACTGGTAGCAATGTAGAGGGTGAATTTGGGGCAGTGAGAGAAACATTAGTTAGATGACTGTTTGAACAGCCTGGAAAGAAAAGGTGGGGGCATAAACTAAGGCAGTACCAGTATCACAAAAGAAGATTTGGGAGTTTATAAGAATGTGTAGACAATGGAGTCAGTTTTTATAACAGAGGTACAAAAGGGAGGAAAAGGAGGAAGCTGGGGATAGCTGTTATCTGAGACTTGTGTAAGTAGATACACCATTTACCAAATCAAAGAATATAAGAAGAAGAAACAACTTTTGGGGGATGAGAGGAGACGCCAAATTTATTTTTGGATTTGTTTATCATCTAGGTAAATAAAATTTTCAGGCAGTTAAGGACATATGTCTACAACTCAGGAGAGATGATATATTTGGTAACCAGACGCATATATGGGAATTGAGTGCCATAGACGTGGACTGCATCCTCAGGAAAACTGGAGACAAAGGAAAAAACTTGGGATTTGCTGAGTAAGAGAGATGAGCTAAGGATACAGAGAGCAACTTTGGGAAAGTATGAGGAGTAGCTAAAAGGTATGAGAAAAAAGGAGAGAAGAGTATCAGAGGGAAGCCAGGAAAATGGGGAGCTTCAAGAAGACAAGTTGCCACAGATTGAGCAGAATAAGGATAAAAAATGTGGATTTTTTTTTAAGGATTAAAAATTTGACTTAGCAGTTAGTAAGTCATTAGTGAAAGAGGAAAAGCAGTGTTAGAGGAACATTAGGAATGAAGCAAGCTTGAGGTAGGACTGAAGTATTTAGAAGTAAAGGGCCATGATGTTTGTAACTTAAAGTGGTTCAGAAAAAAATGTTAATGGGTGAATCTGGGTAAAGGGTTTACAGGTATTCTTTGTACTAGTTTTAGTCTTTCAGTTTTTCTGGGCTTTTTAAAATTAGTTTCAAATAAAATGCCTTAGAAAATTATAGTACAGGGGCGCCTGGGTGGCTCAATCAGTTAAGCGTCTGCCTTCGGCTCAGGGCATGATCCCGGGGTCCTGGGATCGAGCCCCGCATCGGGCTCCCTGCTCGGCGGGAAGCCTGCTTCTCCCTCTCCCACTCCCCCTGCTTGTGTTCCCTCTCTCGCTGTGTCTCTCTCTGTCAAATAAATAAATAAAATCTTTAAAAAAAAAATTATAGTACAATAAAAAGTTAATAAAAGAGAAGTAAAGAAATGTCTGTTCAAAGAAGCAGTACTTAGAGGAGAAAGAAGCAACCAAGAGCTTAGTTTTGCATTTATGTTACAGAGGGTAAGGAACTAATGATGTGAACAGGGCAAGAGAAAGGTGCTAAGAACTAGATCAGAATAGTAATTGATGGAGTAAGATCTCTGAAGGTAGAAGGAAAATGAAACAAAGAAGGTAAAGAGGCCAGTTAAAGTTTTGTGATTTTTCCAAAGCATTCAAGTTTTATTAAAAACAATTTTTTATTGTAAATCAGATCATTGATTAGATTACTGCTCTTGAATGTTTAAGCTTTGTAATTGTAATTTTACTGTTATATTTTGAAGTCTCCCTATGCAACAAGAGTGAAGATTACATTGTCTAGACCAGCAGTTTGGTTTTATTGCTACCTAAGCCTATTTTAAACATAGGTCATCTTTTCAGATGAAATATATGTTTTGATTTCTTGACTGTTGGGCTTTTTAAAAAAAATAAAGTATCAAAATTAGCATTATTAATTAAAGCTTCTTGCCTGATGTTAAGGTGTCTTCCGTGCCAAGTGTAAAAATCAGACTATTTTAGATTTGCAAAGAACCTGGAGCCAAAAGTCCCAGTAAAGATACATAGATGTCTATGTCAGCAGAAGAGAAAAATAACACATCTATTTTTAAGTTAGTTGGAATTCTGAAGTCAAACCACTTGGTTGAATGCCTGCCATAGTGATATTAAAATTTCAAACATGTTTATAAGACCTCTGCTGCCTCCTGCTGTCTGTTATGTGGATACGTTAATAATAGTGAAGAGTTTTTTAAGAATTAAGTGTTTCTTTGATGTTTGTGAATAATAAACCTGAAATTATGGAGAAGTTAAGTAAACATTCTGAAGTTAAAATCAAGATGAGTGGAGAATTATAATGTAACTTCAACTTAACAAATTTTTCAGGCTGAAAATTATTGAAGTTCTTTTTGACATTACTTTTTTTTAATCCCCACCCCCCCAAATCATAAGTAGCTGTTGAAGAGAGAGGCTGTTTTTGAGCCTCAGCAGTGGGTCAGGCTTACAAGCAACTAACACTCTCTGGGATAAATTATACTGCCTTTTATTTTTAAGATTTGTATAAGTGTGGCACTTGATAGACCAAGATAGGTCAGGGGGAAAGGTAAGAAGAATTTGTCTCAGTTTATACTTATCTAGTCCTGGTTCTGTGAGTTGGGAACATGGTGGGCAGGGTGGGGATGATTTAAAAGAAGAAAAACAGTTAAGTTTTCCATGTGATTGTTTATTCATTCTCTAGACTTTCATTGAATGTCTTTTATGTGCTAGATATTGTGCAAGGGGAAATAATAACAAAAAGGGGATATACTGTCCAATAGAAAGAGCTTACTGCAATCTAGTGAATGTAGGAGTGTGAAATCTTAAGCAAATAAATGCCAGACTTATAGTTCCCCTCATTCTACTATCTTAGGCTTTTATTGGAAGGTAACATTCACTGTGTGAGCAATATTGCATATAGGGTATTAAATTCTCATATGTATTATACAACTGTTTCTTGGAAATTCAAGATTTAACTTGCAGAGGCTGATGATAATCGAATATAGATTTTTCACAGGATAATATTTAGATGTTTAGATCAACTATAGATTCCAGTTGAATTTTGACTGACAGAGTAGTTTTTAAAAATGTACCCAGAAGATCAACTTAGGGATAAAAGCCATCAAAGATAAAGTTCTTTGTTATTGTTTAAAAAATAAAGTTCCTGCTTTAATAACTTTGATTTTGTTTTCTTTGCAATCTTCAATTCATAGACTTGGAGTACAGTCAGAAGCATGAGAATGAAAGGAAATGTAAATGAACATGATGAAAATGCCATCTAAAAATAAGGGAGGATACTGAAAACTTACTAGAATTTTACAGAAGTATAGGGAATTAATTGAATATTCAAGCTAAAGCCATATATTTTGATATCTTCTGGGGGCCTAGTTTCGTCAGGAGGAGATTCTGTATGACGATCTAGGATTTTAGTGGCGTATGAGAAAGAGAGCTTGCAGGTAGTGGAAAGAGCACTGGCTTTGGAGTTAGCCCTGAACTGGTTTAAATGCTGTCACTTACCCAGTTATATAGCATCACTTGGGTCACCCAACCTCCTTGGGTAGAAAAAGGGAAATTGTTTCACAGAACAGTTGTGACTGAGATTTTTTAAAGACTATTTTCAATCAACTGAAGCAGTGCTTTGACCTCAGGATATCTTTATACTATTAAAAAATACTGAGGACCTCAAAGAGCTTTTGTTTTGATGGGCTATATATGTTAATAATTACTGTATTAGTCTTTAAAATGGGAAATTTATTCATTTAAAGAATGATTTACTTTACTTAGGCATGATTTTGTAACATCAGTTGATATCCTTATTTGGAAAATATTGGTTTGCTAAATTATGCAAGTCTTCCAAATGTTGATACATTTCTTTATATTGTTTTTTTAAAAAAACACCTTTGTTAATATTACCACAAATATTAGCAGAAAGCCTTTATAATTCTTGGGAAGCTAAAAACTCGTGGTGGTGGATACAAGTTTTCCAAAATTCTTATTTTCATCTCAAAATTTGAATTTTACCAGTGGCAATAAATAACTCTGGTTGTTTTCCTTGAAATGACAGGTTCACTTCTTTAATTTTCAAGAAAATTTCTGCCAGATACCCAAGTCTGAATAACCAGAATCTATTATCTTTCAAGTAAAAAACAATGTTCAACTTTAAAGATTAAATGAAATAATTATTATGAACCTCTTACAACTTGAGTCAGCAATCAGAAAATGGTAGCTACAGGGCGCCTGGGTGGCTCAGTTGTTAAGCAACTGCCTTCGGCTCTGGTCATGGTCCCAGGGTCCTGGGATCGAGTCCCATATCGGGCTCTCTGCTCCGCGGGAAGCCTGCTTCTCCCTCTCCCACTCCCCCTGCTTGTGTTCCCTCTCTCACTGTGTCTCTCTCTGTCAAATAAATAAATAAAATCTTAAAAAAAAAAAAAAAAGGTAGCTACAGAGTGATCATATTAACATTTTCAATGTTAATCATAATACCTTTCCGCATGTTTTAATTCAGTTGACGTTCCTAATGTTCCTGTGAGGAAGGTAAAATAGGTGTCATTATCTCATATAAATGAGGAAACTGAGATTATAAGGGATTGAGAGGTTTGCTTAAAGCTACTAGCAAATAAGTAGTGAATCCAGACTTCAATTCAAGCCACCTGTCTTCAAGTGCAGGATTTCCCCGCCATTTTGTCAGCAAAGACTATGTGTTATATGACAGGGAAAACACATAGCTCCCCACAGTTGAACAGCAATAGTGTTATTTGGGCATTGCTAACGTTTTCAAGTGATGATAGAAACAACCATTTATTTTGTATAAAGTATTCAGAAAAGACATATTATTTGAGCTGAATCTTGAAGAATTAATTTTGTTTGTTAGTTGTAAGAGAATTACCTATTTGTAGGAAACGTAAATTATGGAGAAGTATACATGCAGTAAATTATAAAAGATCATTTAAATAATTTTGTTTTTCTCTCTCCTAGCCTCAGGCTTTAGAAAAGAACTCAAGAATTTGGAAGTAGGCTATAAATCTCATGAGTTCCACCCAGAGTCACATCTACAAATAAAAAATTCTTTGATGAAAAGGTAATCAAAGATATTTAGAAATACTAAAATCTTTCATATTAAATGCATGTATTATAGGAACTCTTTATCAGGCTAAAAATCCATGATGTTATGATGCCTGTATTATTGGGGATCATTAAAAGGATATAGGCCTATGGATAGAGGGCCTACAGAGTACCAGGTACAATACATGATGGTTATAATCCTCAGCATTCTGATGAGGTGGGTGGTATTTAGTAAGAGAAAATTAGGGGCTTTTATTAAGTAATTTGCTCAAAGCAGTGGAGCTGAAATTTGAATGCAGCTCTTATCTACCTAGCAAAGCCTCTACTCTTTTCATCATTTCGCTCTAATTGAATTCCATGCAATTCATGTGAGAAAAGTAATTTTCATGACAAAAATAATTTGCAATGTGGTATCATTTATCTTCATCTCAGAAGTTAATTATTACCTAAAAAAGGTAATCTTGATTAAATTATTTTTAATTCGTATACCATCCTTATAGCATTGTATGTCAAAGTTGTCTCTATTGGTATAAGCTTTGTAATGTTGGTCAAGAAGTGTTTTAGGGTATTGAAGTGTTTGCTTATAACATATTTTTTAAGTCTATGCTACATTTTATTACAAATAAATGTAATTTCAGTGTTTGTAAGTTGAAATGAATTTTTTTAAATTATGCTTCTGATTATAAGAGATCTAATTTTGGTAATGACAGGTGTTTCTGGCATTCATGTATTTTGGCATACATTTTGGAGTCAGAGAGTATAAAATGGTAATAGTTACAAATATCTTCCCATTTCTGTTATGTTATAAAAATAACATCAGGTATATATTGAGAAGTTAAACTACAGGACAAATGTTCGTTTTTCCTCCAATTTTGTCTTTTAGCTTTGTCCTTGTTTCTTTTCTCTGTTGCAGGTCACAGATACATGAAACAAATGGAAAGTTATTCCCTTCATCAGGTCCACAGATACTCAAGGACAATGCAGCAAGAGAGCATATCCACCAGTCAGGTGAACAGAAACTTGAAACCCCAAGTGAATGCAAATTTTCTGAGTGGCTTAATACAGAAAATTCTGAGAGAACAGGTTTACTTTTTCACGATGATAATTTTGCTCCTGGAAAGAGAATGAACAGTAATGAAGTAGTCTCATCATCTTCACTGTGGTCTTCACACATGAGACCTGTTGGGGTAAAGCCAGAAACTTCTCCCCTCATCCAGCAGCAAACTATGATGGAACAATGTTGCTCTGAGAACTCTCTGTCCAGGGAACATATAATTGAGTCAACCTGCAGGTCTGATGGTTGTCAGATGCCAAAACTTGTTAGCCATAATCCACCACCTCCTTTGCCACCAAAGAAATATGCTATAACCAGTGTGCCACAGTCAGAGAAAAATGATCCCGCACCTAATGTAAAACTTACAGAGATGTTTAAAGCTAATTCTTCTAGTCTTCCAAAGCACAGTTTATATTTGGATTCAGAACCAAGTTCAGAAGTAGGTACGTATATGAATGATCAAAGACTTAAGGAAACATTTCAAATAAAAGAGCATGTTGGCAACACACCAAACTACCTGTCAAGCTTTTCAACTAAAGATTTTCAGGCAGACTTGGGTACAGTTGTTGATGCATTTTGCCAACCAGAAATAGACTCTAGTTCTACCTGTCCAAATGAGACCATTTCATTAACTACCTATTTTTCAGTTGATAGCTGCATGACTGATACATACAGACTGAAATACCATCAGAGACCCAAGCTCTGTGTTCCAGAAAGCGGTGGTTTTTGTAATGATCATGCAATATCTCAGAGTGAAAGAGGGCTAGCACCTGTGTTACACAACAGTCTTGGTTCAAACTGCCCTTCTGAGCAGAGATATAAACCTAGTATACACTGTAATAGGTAAGTGATGAAACTGGTAAGCTTATACTTCTCAGAGGCCATGAAAATATAATAGGAATTGACTGACCAAACCTGGTGATACATGAAACTAAAACCGTGGCATTTTTAAAGTCATTAATCACTTTAATTTTCTATATATATTTTTTATTTTGTGATCAATTTATTGGATATTTTAGAAATTCCCTTTGAATAGTCTTGGCGTGCCTGCAAAACAGAAAATCAGGGGGTATGCAAAAAGTCACTGCTGCAGTTGAATAAAAATGTAATTTGCTCCTTTATATGTGGCTAGTAGACCTGTAAGTATTAAACTAACCAGTACTCACATTTGTAGATTGGTAAACTATGCTAATTGAAAAATACCAGGTGATACATAGTTTGTGTAGTCAAAGCAGTATTTGCTTTATGAAGAAGCACTTTCTGTCTAATGGGTAACCAACCAAAAGAGGGCTTCACCCATTTGTTTTTGACTTCTGTGATAGTCTACTACATATGATCCCTTTAAGTGTCTTAAAAAATATCAGCCCATGAAATTGATAGCATTTGTGGGGGGAGCCTTAATGATAAAGCAGTTTTTAAATTAAATTCTTAAGGTCAGAACAGAAGAAACTTAATTTTGCTCCTAGAATTTTAATCTTCATAATGCCTCGATAACATAAATTAGGACTTTGTTTTATCATAAACTTACTTCAGCCATGTAAGCTAAAAATAAGTGAAATTCTTAACGTTAGTATATTTGTTACTTTTTTTTCTAATTTTATATGAAATGTGAAAGGTTTTATTTTGGTTTGGTTTATTTTGGGCTGCTAATAACCAGTGTTAGGAATTTAACTTAGGGCCCACTGGGGATGTCACTGTGTGCCTAAATTTTCCCTGCTATCATCTTAACCTCTCTTTATAGGTCAACCCATTTTAATGATTTTCAGGTTCTTGAATTCGAGTATTTCTGGGTTCCAGATTCAATTTCTACCTTCATTTAGAGGGTTTAATTTTAATGAAATGTATTAATTTGAGCATCCCTACCATTTTTCTAAACAGTCATTTTACCCTACTTTCACGGAGAGGGCTTTTTTTTTTTTAAATAAAGGAATTTTCCATTATCAGTATGACCTTATAAATGAAGTTACATTAATTGCTTTATTTCATTAGTTGTCATTTTATTTTGTACTAAGTTGGTAAATGTATTGTGGCTAAGTATTGTATTGTCCATGTAAGAAAATTGAAAATTACAGAATTAAAAATTTTCTTACATTAATAAACTTCATACATATAACTTAATTCTGTAATCTGATTAGTAAATTTTAATGTTTTGACCAGCTCCATAAATTGTTAAAATATTCTAAAATATAAATGATTAAAATGAGTATTCCTAGATAAATATAAAATAATTGCTTGTAAAAACCTAATCTCACCCAGTTAAGAAATCTTGGTCAATTATTGTCTTCCACCTAGAGAAGTTTTTACTAGCCTTTTCTAACTGTAACAGTAGGGTGATTATTACTTTATATTCTCTTAATTTAGAAATACTTGAATATGAACTATATTAAACTTTTATCTTTTAAGAAAGCTTATTTTTAAATAACTTTTAGTATGGAGGGTTTGTAAATACTGTAAAGTTTCTAAAATTGTATTTGACATAACATTGTATTTAATTATTGCTTTTATAACATTGTAAAATACTAGAAAATGGGTTTCAAGTATTTTTAATAACTTTGAAAAACTTTGTCTAGTTTTTTTTTAAGATTTCTATTTGGTCAAAATGTCTAGTTAAAAATGTATTATTTGAAACATATAAACTAATTTCTGTTATTTAACAGCAGTCTCATAGATTTGTATTTTCAACCCACAGTTGAGTTTCAACATCAAATAGAAATATCTAATTTTGGCTCTTTTTAAAGTACTGTCCAGTTGAAACCACCTGAATCATGTAATAGTACTAACTAGGAAGTGTTTTTGTTGATTCAACACTCCAAATACAGATTTGAGTACCTAATTACTAACTATTCACATGTAACATTTTTATTTCTAGAGTACCTAATTTTTATACGTGTTTTCTTCTCATTATAAAATTATGGTAACTTCTGAAATAATGCAACCAATAATTATTGTAATGTTCAAAATACTTATCTTCAGACTGTTGATTTTTCTGTGAAATCAGTTTCTAACGGTTCAAATTTTTTTTTTTAAGATAAACTGATTTTTGGGGCGCCTCAGTGGCTCAGTCGTTAAGCGTCTGCCTTCGGCTCGGGTCATGGTCCCAGGGTCCTGGGATCGAGCCCCACATCGGGCTCCCTGCTTAGCGGGAAGCCTGCTTCTCCCTCTCCCACTCCCCGTTTGTGTTCCCTCTCTCGTTGTCTCTGTCAAATAAAAAGATAAACTGATTTTTATGTTAACATGGTTGGACTTTTCTGTGCATTCATGAATTGTGGCTTCCTCTCCTCACATGTTGATTATGTATTTTATGAGAAATTAAGTTACCTTAAAGTTCAAGGGTTTGGAGTATCACTAATCATAAAATGTTATCACTAGAGGTTCCTAAAAGTTTAACTGCAGTGAGGTCTAACGCAGGGCTCCAAAGGAGTTGGCAAACTTTCTAGAGAGCCAGATAGTAAATAATTTGATCTTGGTGGACCATAGGGTCTTTGTAACAAACAACTACTCAATTCTGCCACTGTAGTGAAAGAAGCCGTAAATGGTATGTAAATGAATGGCATGTTTGTGTTTCAATAAAACTTTATTGACATTGAAACTTGATTTTATGTAATTTTCATCTGTTATGAAATAGTCACTTGATTTTTTTCAACCATTTTAAAATGTAAAAATCATCCTTAGCTCACAGGCCTGATCAAAAGAGGTAGTAGGTCAGATTTGGCCCATTGGCCATAGTTTGATGATCCTTATCCTCGAACGTAATTTACATTAAGTAACCTTAATGACCTGAAATAAATTATCCTATAGTCTCTGAATGTATCCCCATGCCATTTAGGGACTAGATACACAGAGAGGTTTCTGTCCTAAATTTTCAGGTTCATAGACTCCTAAATCCTAAAGACTTTGTCACAGTTACTGGTCAGCCAGTTCATTTCACAAATGGTTATTAAAATAATCATTTCATTTATATGAAATTAAGTCCTTGAAATTTACAAAGGAATTTATCAGATTAAAATCACATTGATGTTATTCTTTGTTTTCGTCATAGCAAGTTTGCCAACTTTTCTTGGTGTCCCGTTCATCCTTCAGCCTTACCCAGTTAGCCTTTACCCATTTAGCCTTCAAGTGTGGATGCTGTAAGCACTCATTATACTTGAGATGGCACAGTAGGTATAATTTCTTATTCATCAGCTGTAGAAAAGATTCACCCTCATACTGGAACCATTTCTGTATACCATTTACAGTCATGTCATAACACCAAGACCTTGCTACCTTCCCTCTACTAGAAATTTTCAGAATATTCAATAGTTGTGGTAGTGGGCTGATTTTAGCCTCAGAAACATAAAATTATAAATCTTTGTGTGTAACACAACATTAAACTTCATGAGAACTGTTAATCCTTTCAAAACCCTGCTACCTACCAAGTAATTTGTTTAAACAAATGCAAAATCCAAATCAGACCAAATTTAGCTACACAATAAACATTGATTGGACAATATTAGCAAGCAGCAGAAAAACAGTTCATACTGTTTGATATACTCAATGAAATTCCAGTTTTGTGTTTCTTTAGATGCATCAACCTTTGCATAAAAGGTTCTCCCCAAGTAGATGCAACAGTACCCTGGATGTGTAACTGTTACCTTGTAGCCGGCAATAGGCAACTAAAATCTTCCAAAATCAGTCCTGGATTTCATTCTAACACCATTAAGAGAGAGGGTGTAGAGTTTACCAGATCCACACTCTGTTTCTAAGGGAGGTGAATATCCTCAAAATATTTAGGCAATTCACATGTATCAAATGTCACCAATTTTTTTTTTTTTTAAGATTTTATTTATTTATTTGACAGAGACAGAGAGAGAGGGAACACAAGCAGGGGGAGTGGGAGAGGGAGAAGCAGGCTCCCCGCAGAGCAGGGAGCCTGATGTGGGACTCGATCCCAGGATCCTGGGATCATGACCTGAGCCGAAGGCAGTTGCTCAACCGACTGAGCCACCCAGGCGCCCCAAATGTCACCAATTTCAACAAGAGCCCCTATCTACTCTTTTTTTTTTTTTAAGATTTTATTTATTTGACAGAGACACAGTGAGAGAGGGAACACAGAGGGGAAGGAGGCTTCCCGCCGAGCAGGGACCCTGATGCAGGGCTCAATCCCAGGACCCTGGGATCATGACCTGAGCTGAAGGCAGACGCTTAACGACTGAGCCACCCAGGCACACCAACAAGAGCCCACTTCTAACATGTTACATAAAGGAGTATCTGTTATATAATAGGACTAGCTTCTGAAGGGCTTTTAGTAGCTGCTTTGGGAGTGTGACCTTTGATTAAACACCAGCTGATCACTCCTAGAATGTAAATTCTTACTAACATTTAGATATAAAAGAATGTAAGCTCCATGAAGGCAAGGATTTTTTGTCTTTTTTGCTCACTACTGTACCTGGCCGAGTAAGTGATCAAATATTTGCTGAAATGACTTTGCTGAAGTATTTAAGGTACAGACATTATAAAAACAAAAATATATTTTAGCTACAAGCATTCTTAATACAATCACAATTATAAAAAATAGGTTTCAAACACAGTCCTATTTTAGGGAAATTCAGGAACTTAAAAGGAAGCAAGGGGAAGCATCCAGGTAAGAGGACATGCACACTAGATTTCCAAAGTTGGATATTATATACTTCCTCTGAGATTGTATCAATCTGGCGACCATAACAGAGGCCCACTTAATCTAAAAATTAAACTGGTACTTAACAGCCAATACATTTTGGGCCTGCACTTTCTGTACAGCTCTTAACTCCTTTTTCTTCCTTTGCTTTTGAGTAATTTATTTTTAAATACTTCACCTTAATATTTCA